GCTGCACTCAACACAAATGACCATTCGCAGCGGACAGAATGAGCGGCTCACTCTCACACGCACACACACACACGTTGGCATCGCGAATGGTGGGCGCAGGAAACACTAATAAACGCTCCGATCTCCACACTGCTCGCCGGCGGCACAGTGCGGTCGTAGACGACTCACTTTAGCCGTCCCCCGTGCCGCACATTATCTCTCCGAGTCCGTTTACTGTTCGTCGCCGTCGCACTCGAGACGGCAGAGACGAGAGACTGGCCGCCTGTAACGACCAGTGGCAGTCGTCGCATCCACGGCGCGGATACGACCACCTACACCGGCGTCATACACTCCGCTCGTCCCATCGGCCGGTGTCCCACGCGGTACGTCTCCGTCGGTCAGTCGCACTAGTTCGCCAACCTTGACCTCGGTCGTGTCCATGATCGACATGCAGTGTGCGGTCGGCTTGCGCGGGGAGACACTCTCGCCGCCGGCGTCGCCAGGGGCGATCCTGCGGCTGCGTGTTCTTCCGCTTCCAGCGACGGCCACCGACTCTGAGCAGGCCGCCGGAGTCCATGAGGCAGGACGAGAAGTCACTGCCGTTTACGACCGGCTCCGCTCGCTCGGTGACGCACGCTGTGACCCTCGTCTCGTCGTCGGAGAGGGCGGCCGGGCCGGACCGCGCAGCTGGACCTCGTATCCACGGTCCGCCGGGGGCGAGGTCCGTCCCCGGGCCGCCTCTGCTGAAGATGTCGGCCGGGCCCGGCGGCTCGGCTGCGTGACACCACTGGGTCGTCTCTGATGATTCCTGGGTGTGAAGGTCAGCGACTGCACCACTCGTTTTATCACTGACACGAACGTGATTGACAACGTGTTCACCATCGAGCACCGAGCGTTCCGACGCCCGCCCGGTCACCGTCCATCCCAACAGCGTTCTTACGGCGCACGGCGTTCCCGTCGGTCCCTCGATCACTTCCCGCGGCACAATAAGTTCGATGACGTCGGTTCCCAGGAGCACCTCCACTGGGCCGTGGGTGGCGCTGGGGAGATCCAGGTCGGCAAGGTGCGGCCATTTCTCCTTTGCTACTGTGCAGACCATGGCCTTGACTGACACGTTTAACGTCGGCGTCGTTTGGGCGTTACGTATACGGTGTGCCCTGCCGTCGCCGCCCACAGCCTCGACGGCGAAGGATACGCGTCGTGACGTCGTCGTTTGGGTCCCACTCAGCGTACTCAGCACCAATTTGTCGGTGGGCCCCGAGATGCCGAGCCGGTCACACAGGTCGTCGGTGATCAGTGTGACCTGACTGCCCAGGTCGAAGAGTGCGTTCGTGGTGCGGCTACCTGCCGGCCCATTTACGGTGATGGGCACCACCTGCAGGAGAACATCACTGCGAGGCTCGGCCGATGCGGTGCCGACATGTTTGGCAGATGACGGCGTACCATCATCGGAATCGCGCAGCGGAAACACTCGTCCTCCATTGTGTAACAGCGTGTGATGACGCCTGCCGCAGTGCTCCGCGTCACATCGTGCATCACTGGGACACGTGGCGCTGATGTGATCGCGACCCAGGCAGTTAAAGCACAGTCCGTTTCTGCCGACGAACTCTGCCTTCTCACTCACAGTCAGCGCGAGAAATTCGTCACAGTGCTGGAGCTCGTGTGTTTGCTGACACATGGTACACCAGTCACTGTGTCCGTCCGCTGATGACTTTATGGCAGCTGTCCTCTCCCGCTTTACAGCCGCCGGCGTGGGCCGCGCCGACGCGGTGGTAAACACGCGTCTCGGGCGGTACTCAGCGTCATTAGCCTCGACCTTCGGCAGCTGCTTGGTGGTCACGTTCAAGGCCAACCGACCAGCTGACACATGCCGGCGAAGCCATTCGTCGAGATCGACGAGCGTCGGACGAGTGATGCCGTTTTCCACCATGTGCTCGCCCCACCTCCAGGCGAGGGAGGCTGGTAGCTTCCCAGTCACAGTGGTGACGTTCGTGGCGGCAGCGAGGTCGTGCTCGTAGTGCAGATGTTGCAGGCACTTTAGAAAATCAGTCATTTTGTAAAATGCCTAGGCATTTTGCAAAATGACTGATTTTCCAGGCTTTTTGCAAAAAGCCTAGGCATTTTACAAAATGACTGACTCTCCAGTCATTTTGCAAAATGCCTAGGCACTTTACAAAATACCTAGCCATTTTACAAAATGACTGAGCAGTGTGTTGTAGATACGAGTACCTAATTATATACGTTTTGGTAGCGTGTAGGTGGACCGAGGAGTCCAGCATTATGACCAGAGGAGTCCAGCAGTGGGAAGTCCATACCTACCTCTATTTTGAGAAGTGCAGGCCCGCGACATTTCCAACCCCCACGTCAGCGACGCTGCTGGATTTAAAATGATCGATCTGGAGCGTCAACAAACGACTGGCCCTATGCCGGCCTGTATCTGTAAAACTATTAGAAGTCGCGAGGATTCGATCCCACACACTTAGGCGTTAGTGTCTTCTGAAACCAACGCTCTCGTCCTACGCCAAGCGACCTGATGATTCTCCAGAGGTGGAGCTTGATATTTTTAACTGGTACCATGCAAGTAGGTACTCAAAGCTGTTGCCACAGAGCAAAATTAATCGTGTTTTGTTGATTATTGCTTTAATATTCATTGTGATCAGAGAGTTTTTTTTATTCCAAAGAAAAGTTAGGAAGAAAACCTAAAGAAAACCTTGCGGCGCGAGTTATTGGCGAAAAACAGGAGGGGTGGGCGGAATCCGCCCCCCCCCCCCCCTCCACTGCGCGTGTTAAAATGTGAGGATGAGAGAGAAGGAGTGGGAGATTATACCTAATTAAATTCGAACGTGTTTTTAATGTCCAAATACATAATACAGTTTTGTCCGTAATGGCACAATCAAACAAAGACTACACTCATTCGTTTACATGTAATTGTACATCAACCGGGCCTGCCTATTGACTAGGGCCGGTCTCCGGCTGGTTTTGTTAGGTCTAGTTTCAGGCAGGACATGAACGGCGTTGATGTACTTGGGAGTTTTTACAGCGTTAACTAAACAATGCTTTATGCTACAGCCGAGTCTGCAATTCAACCTGGTCGTTACTCAGCATTGTCGTTATCACAGAGCTTCAAATCGATCAGCTACAGGCTGAACACGTACCTATATAGGGTATAGGAAGACGTCCAAAAACTGTTGGCCATAGTATCTGTAGTGGGATCTACGTTCCATGCTGGTCAGGCATTTTGCAAAATGCCTAGTCATTTTGTAAAATGGCTAGCCATTTTGAAAAAAGCCTGGTTGCGTTCAGTCATTTTTCAAACAGCCGTCTTTTTGTAAAATGCCTAGGCATTTTACAAAATGGCTGATTTTCTAAAGTGCCTGCAACACAGACACTGTAGGACGCTCACCGCGGTGTGGAGCTCACGAGACAGCTCTGTGAGCGCTGACAGGTCACCGTCTTTCACTGGCCGCGCTGTGATCAGTCTTTTCATCGTGGCGTGTATCACACGGGACGGGTCACCAAACTCTCGTTCCAGCTCACCCAGGGCAGTGCTATATAGACTGGCGTCGCAGAGCATGCCGCGCACCGACTCCTTTGCCGGCCCCGTCAGGTGAGTCTGCAGGTAGGTTAGCCGTTCCACGTCGGTGAGATCAGCGCGGTCGTGCACCAGCGCTTTGAAGAGGGCTATCCACCGCGGCCACTCGATGGCAGAGCCGCCGAACTTCTCTAGCGTGATGCGCGGCAGATGTGGGACCGCTCGCGTGTCGTCACTGGACGGGCGCTGCAGACGCATTGCAGGTGGAGGCAGGGTGCCGACAGGAGCCGTATCCACTGGCGGCACATGCAGCTGAGATTGAGCCAGCCACTGTCGGGTGCGCGTGACTGACTCGTCCGTCTGTCGAGACACGTCCACCGGTGCCGGTGGCTCAGTTGCAACCACCGGTAGTCTGGCGACGGATGGTGCAGCGGAAGAACGAGGGTGCTGCGAACCCCGCTCCTCCTGCTCCAGCAGCTCCAGCTCCAGCTGACGGTATTCAGCTTCATCCATCGCCGCCTGAGCTTGCAGCGCTGCCTGCGCCTCCGCCTGCTCCGCCTGCCGCCGGGACTGCTCTGCCTGTTGTCGGGCTTGCTCCGCCTGCGCCTCCGCCTGACGCCGGGCCAGCTCAGCCTTGGCGGCGGCGGCGCGCTGGACCTGTTCCGCCTGGAGCTTGCTGAGCGCAGCTCGGCGGCGGGCTTCACTGAGGCCAGAGGACGCCGTACTGAAGCTCGCCTCACTCCTCGTGTGATATGAGCTCCGGCGACCTTGATGCGATTTTGCATCACTGTCGTGTCGTGACCGTTTGTCAGACATTGTACTCACAGCTCACAACACCGCGTCGTCACTGTAAATCCATCACACTAGTTCACTGATATCCGGCCCGGAGGACCAGAATGTTCGTGAGAATCGTAAAGTTCACTCGTTCGATACGGAAATCTTTGTGCGTGCTCGTGATCGTTCACTCGTTCTCTTTCGTCACCCGGAGGACCATAAAGTTATTGTTCATATAAGTAAAAGTCTATTCTTGAATGAAACGGAAACGATTAAAATGCACAAAATACGGCGGTCACAAATGCGGTTCACTGAATCGTTCTCGTAGGGCCACGTCGGCCGCGTCGTACGTAAGGCCACGTCGGCCACGTCGTGCACCGGGCCGTCGCGCACCGGTGGAGTCCCGTCGAAGACTGTCAGGCCCCCGTCCCGTCTCAGCCCTCGTGGTACGCACAACACGTGGGCATGAGAACCAGGACAGGGGCCAGATGACACATATGTGAGCGGCGTGGCGCGGCGGACCGACCGCCGCGCTCCGAGCGCCGGCCGTCTTTGCGAAGGTATCCAAAATGCCTATTTGCTCGCTAACACAAATAATAGCCAGTCTTTATTCCCAACGTAAAAATGGCTCATTCCACCATTTCCAAAAAAAGGAGATTGAATTCAGGAACAATTTCCATGCGACTGATTGTTTCCTACTTCTCTGCAGGGTTGATTCCGCTCCCGTTGAGCTTGCTGCACAGCAATTCTGATCAGAACCTTGAGGAAGCCTTCAGTAGACTCCGGTTCCGGAGACGGTCACCATTAGAACACCGGCGCTACAAAAGGCACAGCCACAAACACAAGGGGCGTAAGCATAAGGGGCGTAAGTATAAGGGCCGTAAGCATAAGGGGCGTAAGCACAAGGGGCGTAAGCACAAGAGACGCAAGCATAAGGAAGGCAAACATAAGGGACAGAAACATAAGGGAAGCAAACACAGGGGACAGAAACGCAAGGGAGGCAAACACATGGGACACAAGAAGGACCATAAGAACAAGGGACAAAAGCACGTTGAGCACAAACACCATGGACCGAAACAACGGGAACACAAACGTCATAAACACCGGCAGCGGGAGCACAAACATCGCGAGCTGGAAGACAATGAGCACAGAAACGTCAACGGGAATAACCCCAACCGCCGAGATGACGGGTCGGTGCCAGATGAGCAGCGACCAGAAGGTGTCCGCGAGAGCAGGACGCTGCGCGAGATCTGGAGGAAACTGGACAAATTTGGAAGAGGTAAATATAGAGGGAGAGAATAATTGATATGAGCTTTGCTGGCTATTGTAACGTCTTACGATATCGAGCTCAAAAGCATAAGTCTGAAATGATGATATAAGTGGATAGCTGTAAGTTGTTACATCGCCCATGAATAGCAAGATCAACGTAAACGTCAACATCATTGTGGTTGAAGGCGGGTACGCTTATTAACAACGTGTTTAACTTCTTCCTCAGATATTAAAAGCCTGTTGGACGCCACGCACCGCTCCGGGCCACTGCCTGGATTCCCGGCTGTTCAACCCAAAGCTCGTGTCTGGACAGAATGGGATGGCACGCAAGATGAACAAACAACTCCACAACCAGGCTGGTGGACAACCAAAGCCTGGACTACAAGGCTGACGCCACACTGGCCTACAAACTCTTCACCAGCACCAACGACCACAAGCCCGACGGCACCTAAGACCACAACTTCTTCGCCAGTACCTTCGACTACCACTCCTCCCCCAGCGTCAGCTTCAACAACCACGCCAGCGCCCACTACGTCAACAACCACCACCACAGGGAGCTCCCGCAGCCGCGGCGGGGTCCTGGTGGTCACCACTCAGCCTCAGGTCATCGACGGACGACCGTCGTGTCGGCGCGGCTTCACCTATCACGCGGAGAGTCAGATGTGCCACGAGCTGTGTCCTACAGGAGCCTCGTTCCGGCCACACCTCGCCGCCTGCTACTGCGATCGCAGTGACTTCGCCATCAGTTTCAGTTTCCAGCCCTGGCGCTGTGCGCCGGCCGGCGGCGGTGGACCGTAGTAAAACGCCACGATGTGGTTGGAAGGGGTGACTGCTTCATGGGACCGTTGTAAATTAACAGAAATAAAAGTACGATACGTCGAGCTCTACCTAACCGTTTGTCTGAAATAAAACCAACACTACAAAAGTAAAATGAACTTCCGTCATGGATAAAGCTCATGTAACTGGATGATGTGAATAACACTTAAGCTATTCGGGTTTTAACGCCATCGGTTGCACTGGGGAGAGCTGATGCCGCGTGAATTTAGCCGTGATGAAAAGATCACTGAAATATAACGCGAAAATGGTCGCGAATTTTTGCTTGCTGTATGAGAAAAATAACGCAAAGGATATCAGAAATGATGACTTGTTCATGACGTTCACGAACTGTTAGTGAACAGAGAATTCAGCTCGTGAACATGTGACCTTAAGTGAAGGAATTTGTAATATATCAAACAAACAAACAAACAAACAAACAAACAAACAAACAAACAAACAAGCAAACAAACAAACAAGCAAGCAAACAAACAAACAAACAAACAAACAAACAAAAAAAACAACAAACAAACAAACAAACAAACAAACAAACACACAACAAACAAACAAACAAGCGTTCCCAAAGTGTTCATGAACAACTATGCGAAACACCAAACCCTGGCCAAAAGGGTCATTTTTTTAGTTCAATTCTTTTCAACTGGAATGCGCCCATCAGATGCAGTTTGGGCTTAGAAACATGGTGGCGCTATTTCTTTTTAGTAAACAAGGTCGAAAATGTACTGGAAACTGCATTTGAATTATTGATAACGGTGAACACTGAACAATTGACGACAAAATGTAAAAGCGGATAACTAGCTCGGGATTTTTTGAAGAGTTTTGAGGAAATAAAAAACTTTCTACGGTGGGTCAATGGTAGGTATGTGTTCTATTGCATATCGTCCAACTTTTTTGTCAAAAAGTCAAAAATGTAGAAAGTATCATTAGAATATATGACCTTCTCCTCGGAAAATAACAAAATGAATGAAAATAAATATTTATTGATGAATTGATAATATTTCGGTCGCAAACCTTCTTCTAAATCGAATTCGATTTAGATCAAATTCTGAAGAAGGTCTGCGACCGAAATATTCGATTTAGATCGAATTCGATTTAGACGAAGGTCTGCGACCGAAATATCATCAATTCATCAATAAATAATCATTTTCATTCATTTTGTCATTTTCCGAGGAGAAGGTCATATATTCTAATGATACTTCCTACATCTATCATGCTCCTTGCAGCAGCTCTGAACGAAAGGTAAACGAAAAAGTCAAAAACTTTAAGATAATTGCAAAAATATACCTAAAGATTGAGATTGTAGATGTATAATATATAAAATTATAAAAATGAAAACCAGAGCCAGTGCTTAAGATAGCCCTGTGTATTTTGTCATATCACATGCAAAGAAATCAGAGTTGTGCTCGACTCAAAAAAATTTGCCGACTCGACTCATCATTCAACTTCAGAATGCCCTGACTCAACTCTGACTCAAACAAGGAGCTGATTTTTGCCCTTGACTCGACTCATGACTCAAGCGGCTCAATGAAAATATGAGTTGACTCAAACTTGACTCAAATTTTTTGTTGAGTCAAGTGTGTTGACTCAAAATTGACTCAGATAAAAAAGTTGTTGAGCGGGGGGGGGGGGGCTGAAAAAATCCGGCAGCAGGGCCAGGCGTAAGTTGTTAAGCGGGGGGAGAATGAAAAACTTATACTATATATTGTTTCTAAAAAGTTGAGTCAGCTGACTCATGTTCCTAAATGTTCTTGACTCAACTCAATGTCAAAAGTTATTTTACTGACTCAACTCTGACTCAACTCAACACCTTAAAGGGACCCTCCCACCTTCAAAAAAGTTAATGAATTGGCATGAAAGTGATGTCGCTCGGTTCAGAAAGAGCAAAAACGAATATCTACCAAATTTCATCGAAAAATATTCACCGGTTTTCAAGATATTAGACTTTTACTTTTGTTTACTTTTTGGGATCTCCGCTGTTCCTAGCGACTTTATTTGAAAGTGCGGCATTTGTTGCGCGCAAAGCAGCATATACCACCGCGTGCTACAAAACGTTTTAGTCAAACATTTAACGGACGTTCGAAAGCCTGATGACGTCATCAGATTCCCGTAATGGTTAAGAGATAGGGACCACGCTGGTCCCACCCTGCAAGTAAAGGGAAGAAATTTCTTGAACACCATAAAGCTGCGGGGGTTGCGACCAGGATAAATGGTGGTTTCTGAGCCTGGCCGCAAACTTGGCTATCTCAACTCAAAACTAATGTTAAGGTGGGAGGGTCCCTTTAATATTTTTGTCCGACTCAACTCTGACTCAACTCAACAGCTCAACCTTTTATCCGACTCGACTCAAATCTGACTCATTTGAGTCAGAGTTGAGTCCAATTTCTGACTCGACTCATGAGTCAAGCACAACCCTGAAAGAAATGTTTCTTGCTGAAAAACTGGGTTTTTGAGAGCGATTGCCGTAACGCGTAAGCCCATGTTTTGCATCAAAATCGTCCAAACATCACAGCAATCTTATATCAAACCCGGGAACCCTATAGTAAGTAACAGCCTTTCCTTTGGACCAAACGTGTCAAATTAATGTACCCCATGGTAATACAAGTTTTGTGTTGATAGGTTTAGCGGTTTTGAAGATATCGCAGAAAACGGGAGGGCTTTGCAAAGCCCTCCCCCCCCCCTCCCCAGTCATGCGCATTGCGCAGGTTGTCTCAATCTAGAAAGTATTCTTAAAGTTTCAATCCAGGAATGAGTCTCTCAACTCAGATTTGGGAGCTGCCCAACTCAACAGAGCTGGGCATTCTCGGGCACTGATAGCGCCGTTTTGAGTGCTAGGATCGGTCCTCCCAGAATTGAGATCATAGGTCCTCTACTAAATGTAACAAAGTCATCCATGGAATGAGCTTCTTTGCCGTGAATTAGGTAATGCTACCTGAGTCCTGAACGGTCGATACATAAGTGCAACGGGCTCAATATTTCGGTGAATTAACAGTGATTAAACATCCAATCGACATGAGATCAATTGATTCAACTGTCAAGCACAAAAATCCCTCGCGTTACGGTAGGACTCGCCCTATTTCATCCATATTCGTGCCTGTCCGGCTGCATAGGCCCTTATATTCGCCCGCCGCTTTGAGTCCGTCGACCACCAGCATTAGCCCGCGCCGGGCCGGTGCTCCGTGACTTCCGCGCCGGGCCGGGGGGGGGGTCTGAACGCCCTCGTCTACTCGGCTCCTGGGCCACGTAGCGACACGCGGTAGGCGGCATTCGAAAGAGCGTCAAAAATAATGACGGGAACACTTCGGTCGTGTTTTGAGTCAGGTCAAAGGTCGACCCCAGAGGTCATCAAAGCTCAAATTTAGACCATTTTAACAGTTTTGGAAACTGCCGACAGCTAACTCGGGAATCAATTGGCTACAGCGCCGCGGAAAAGCGCATTCGATAGCCCTTTTACAGACCTTTCTGAGTGTTCTCCGATTTGACCTCAGGTCAACGGCTTAGCCTTCAGCCAGAGGGCAAAAACTTCCAAAATAGCAGATTTTATGAAAAACGTTTTTCTGCAATGACTTTTGACTCAATACATTGACGACATTTATTTTGCCAGCATCGTGTTCCTCTCGTCGATACGCGACGAATGAACTGTAATTTGACCTTTAAAGGTCATTTTGAAAATTTGACCCTCGGTCAAGGTCATGACCTGACGGGAAAAGATCATGTTGCATATCAGTCGATCCGTATCGTCGTCGAGAGGAACTCATCTGAGGTGCTTTCATCGCTCTATAGCATGTCTCTATCAAGAGTTATTGTCAAAAAACTGCTGGGGACCTTTCATGACCTGATATGAACTCAGGGACACAAAGAGAGGTCACGGGTGCTATTTTGTGATTCAGCTTGCCAAGTTTACCTTTAACTTGATGTTGGCGAGTGTTTGGAATGACGTTCGCCCAAAAGCGGCTCTTTTCAATTTTCTCCCATTGACTTAGGTATAATCGCAAAACTGACCTAACGTTAGGTCACCGATATAAAAATTTCGAGGTATACATTTTGTACATACTGTTGCTCTCATCAATCGCTGAAAGTTTCAAGGTCATCATTCAGTCGGCGTAGCTATGACGAGAATAGGATTCAAACTTTTTCTGAGGTGAGGTCACTTGACGTGACCTGGCCTTGAGAGCCTTGGGTCTGAATTTTTCACAACATATGCAGAAAAGATGCATGAACAGGTGTGCTAAAAACGGCGGCGCGCTTCTGAGATATCTGTAAAAAAACCGCAAGGTGTTCAATTCAAACACATCCCCAGGCCCAGCGCGGGTTAGTGAGATACGCCGTGCGGTACAGCCTACCTGCAGGCGCCCGCTCACAGCGCCATCTCTTAGAAGACATATTAGCTTAGCAGCTGACTGAAGTGCAATGTCATTGGGGCTTGGCTATTGGAATAGGAGTACTGTAACCACGCTTGGCGTGACGGCGCCGATTTTCGATGAAGACAAGCTGATGACTATTGATAGGGGAGGGGGAGGGGGCTCAACCCACGCCGTGCTGGTGGCCTAAGTTTTCCGTGTCGTGCTGGGGGAGGGGGCGTTTTCACGCCCCCCACACCACCAACTCGGCTCCTTGGCCACGTAGCGACACGCAGTAAGCTGCGATCGAAATAGCGTCCAAAAAACAGGGCACTTTGTACATTTTTTAGGCCGGGTCAAAGGTCAGGTCACCAGAGGTCATCAAAGGTAAAATATTGCCTATTCCAACATTTCTCCAATCACCCAACGCACACCTAACTCGGGAACCAATAGAACTACAGCCCGCGGAAAAACGCATGATCTTAGGTCAACGGTTTAGCCTACAGAGGAAAAAATTCAAAGATAGCCGTTTTTACGAAAAACGTTTTTTTCAATGATTTTTGACTCAAGATATAGTCTCGACATTAATTTTGTGAGCATCGTGTTTCTCTCTTAAGACGCGACGAATGAACTATAGGTAATTTGACCTTAAAGATCTTTTTTTCAAAATTTGACCTCAGGTCAAGGTCATGACGTGACCAAAAAGGTCATGTTGCATATCAGTCGATCGGTATCGTCGAGATGAACACATCTGAGGTGTCTCCATTGCTCTAGATTGTCTCTATCAAAGGTTATTGTAAAAAAAAAAAAACTGCTGGAGACCTGCCGTGACTTGAGATGACCTTAGGGACACCAACAGGAGTGGTCACGGTCACGGATGCAATTTTCCGATTCAGTGGTTCATGTTCACATGTAAAACGATGTTTATGAGTGTTTAGAATGACGTTCGTCCAAGACAGGCGCATTTCAATTTTCTCCCATTGACATATAGGTACCTAATGGGAAAGTCGCAAAATTGACCTGACCTTAGGTCATCGATATCAAAGTTCCGAGACAATAATTTTGCATATACTGTTGCTCTTATCAAGCACTGAAAGTTTCAAAGCGGTCGGTCAGTCGGCATGGGTGGAGAACCTGCCCCGGCCACCCCGGCCGTGGCCGGGGTAACT